CGTTGTTTTGTTTGTTGTTTGTTGTTTTTTGTGTTGTATTTATTTATTTTGTTTAATGTCTTGAACTCTTTAGTGCAAAAGTTATTGTTGTGAACTTGTTGTAATTTGGACTTATTATTATTTGTTGTTTATACTGCTTATTATTTGTGTTGTTGCACTACTTGGTTGTTCTACTATATTGTTGTTGTTGTACATGTGTAATGTTCAGAAAAAACTCAGGTACTTAGCAATTTCATTTTGTTATATACATGTTAATTAGACTCTACTGCTTCTTTTTGTTATATACATGTTAATTAGACTCTACTGTTATTGTATATATGTTTCCTGTATTTACATATTTTCATGTTAACCGTTTTTTTTATAAAAATCACTTTAAAAAAAAATCTTCCTATTTTTATCTTTTCAGTTATATATGTTTTAATCTATTAAGAAAAATTAAAGTTTTGGGTAGGAAGAAAATTTTTTGAAAAACATAATTTTAATTGTCCTTAAGAAACTATATTCAAAGAAAATATCTCTTTAAAGTAATATGAGACGTGTGGTATTACTTTCAAATAACTATATTTTTTTGATTCTATAAATGTTGTGGTAAGACTTAGTAAATTTTTGGTGATAAATGTTAGTTCTAAGAATTAAGATATTGAGTAAAAGAGAATAAGACTATAATTTTTCTATTTAAAGTAGGAAAAAAATTGTTTCTTAAAATACTAAGAATCTTAGATATATACTTCAAGGAATTGAGACTCTATGAGAAATTATTTTTGAAAACTAATGCAAATTATCAAAGGAATTGTGACAAGTTTTTAACTTTAAGAGGAGGATAGTGAATTTCAAAACCATTAAAAGCTGATCCAAATATAGTAATCCTCAATGAGAAAAAGAAAAGAAATGATTGAAAATGATCGTGAAAGTAAAAAAGAAAAGAAAAAGAAAAAAAAGGCAAAGAAAGAAAAGAAAAGTATATCTGAAAGTAAGGAAAAGCTTGAGGGGATGTCTGATTAAAAATTGTCCTCACTTCAATCATTTTAAAGAAAGAGACTTAATTACATTTTTGTGCTTTTATTTTCTCCAATATTAGTTTACCTTTACTAATAGATTTCTCTCAAATTTTATCTGTTATTTTTCTGAGATTCCTACATTTTTTGAACAACAATTAATTTTTGAAATGAATAGAAGAATTAGAATTCCTATACTTGATTGCAAAATATTCTTATTCCTTATTTCTAACCTAAATTATTAAGCTTTTTCTAAAGTCATGACTACCACATTTACAAGACAAAACTATAGAGGTCTTTAATGAAACTCAATACCACATATTAAAACATGTTAACATATTTTTCAGAAGAATAAGTTACTCGAGGACAAGTAACAATTAAGTTTGGGGGATTTTGACATACCTAAAATATGTTGTTTTTATGTGTACATTTAATGTTTATTTTTAATTGTATTGCGCTTTAATGAGAGATATTTTTTATGTTTTTGGTTGTAGGTACACTAAATGAAGTAAATGGAGCAAATGGAGCGAAAATGGAGCAAAATGGAGTCAAATGAAGCAAAAAGATCAATGTTGATCTCGCGCGTAGGCGCCAGACAATAGAGAGCACGGCGCCTAGGCGCCAGCGACAGTTATCTAAGAGATACATTGAATTTGGATGAATTTTGAAGAGGTGTTTAAGAGACTCTTGGGGATTTTCAGAGATCTATTTAAAAGTACTTCTGGAAATTTAAAATGAGAGGGTTTTAGGAGGAAGAAAAGGGAGTCTATTGTAGAGAAGCGTATTCTTCCTAGAAAGGAGAAAGTCTTGAAGGCTTGCTGTGATTTGGAGGAGCAAAGGAGAAATGAGAGATATCTTCTTCACTATAAATTCCAAGTTTGGAGTGAATTGTAAGGAGAGTGAGTGATTCAAAGAAACTTGAAGGATTGCTTGGGAAGGAGTTTAAGACAAATTGTGTACATTATTTATTTTGTTTTGTCTTGTCTTGTAAACTATTTTTTATCTTTAAATCTATGTGTTGTTGTTTCTTCCCCATGAGATCTGAGTAGTTTCCTTTGTCTTCTCCCTGCAATGAGGAATAATTTTGTGTAGGAATGTAGCTTAGTATAAGTGTTTCTAAAATTCCATAAATTGTGATGATTCAAACTCTATGTTTCATTTACTTGTCAATCTGATCAATTGATTTATTAAAATTTGTTGTAAAATGTAGTGACCCATTGTTATGGGCTATGTTCCAACATAGTAAGAATCACATTTATTCTAATGGATGAAAATGTAGTCCTTAAGGTTAAGTGCAAATAAATAGGGAAATAAATTTTGATGAGCGTAGAATTAGAGATTTTAGGGTGACCAACTAAAATCCCCAATTTAGTACTGATGTTTAAAAACTAAAGTGAAATGTTAAACCTTAGGGGAGGGGAGGTGAAGAGATTTTAGGGTGACCAACTAAAATCCCCAATTTGGTACAGATGTTTAAAAACTAAAGTGAAATGTTAGACCTTAGGGGAGGGGAGGTGAGAACTCTAGAGTGAGAGCTAGTATCTTCTCAGCCTAACCACAGGTTTAGGGACCAAACATTGGATTAGCCAATGTTCTTTATACACTTGACCGAGGGTAAAGAATATATTTGCTCCTATTTGACACAATATCTTAGTTATATTTCAAAGTTATTTTCGTACACTAATTATAAACTCATTGCAAGGGAAAAGATGTTTTATACAAATTTGAACTCTTCATATATTATCAGTTTCAAGTAGAGGTAGCTTCACATTTAAAAACCCTTTTTAAATAGTATTGCATTTACATTTACATTTGCTAGCATACTAGCAATTCTTTAATACTATAGGATTAGATATGTCTAAAAAACTTGCGATCATTTCCTATATGATTTTTTCTACAGTTAATATTAGGTTTTATTAAAGGTAATTTTAGAAGAGTTGGTTTTTTTCCTGTGAGATCGATATTAGGGCTTTTAAAGAAAATTTTATATTACTTGAAATGATATGTATATTTGTGTATTACCTCTAGTGCGTAAATTTTTTTTATCATCTTTATATAATATTTAATTTTTCACGCTAGCCGTTAAATATAAATTGGGTCAAGCTTTTGGTAGTATCTCTGAAATTAAATAATTATGTAACTGGGGTTCGACTCAGTAACTATAGGTGATCAAATCAATAAAAGGTGTGAATGTTTTAGATATCTCGAGCCCTATTGTTCAAAGTGATGGTGATATAGATGGGATATTATTAGTAGAATTCAAGATGGTTGGTTAAAGTCGAGGAATGCTTCAAGCCCAATGTTTGATTAAAAAGCACTGCTTAGACTGAAAAGAAAATTTTATAAGATGATGGTAACATGCAATGTTTAATGGCACAAAATATTAGCCTTTAAAAGAGAAGCATAAAACAAAGTTAAGTGTCGCCGGGATGAGAATGCTTACGTGGATGAGTGGCTTGACGCTTAAAGACAAAATGAGAAATGAATATATCTGTAATAGGGTTTGGGTTGCTCCAGTGGCAGACAAAATTTGATAAAATCATCTAAAATGGTTTCTTCACATTAAACATCAACCATCTGATGATCCAGTTAGGAGAGTAGATGTTTTACTCGACTTATGTTTAAAAAGGTAGAGATAGACATAGAAAGACTCGGTGTATTGTATAAAAAATGATCTTAATTGATTAGAACAAAATGAAAATATAAAACTCAATAGGACACAATGGAGAAAAAGTATTCATGTAGCCGACCCCGCTCAGGGGGATAAAGACTTATTATTGTTGTTTTGTTGTTGTCTTATCATTTTAGAAAATCCCAAGAAAATTTTGGCGTTTCTACTTAGCACAAGAATGTTTTAAGCAAAGCAAAGAAGATCAATACGTTCAACATAAACCATTCATGGGTTCTGGCTTCGATGAGAATATCTTTTAAAATTAAACTCATACGGTCTACTACAACAAAAACTTCCACAGCCCACCTAACTGTACTAAGCATGTTGGAAGCAAGAAAACCTCTCCGCGATGTGCGGCTGTGATCGGAGGGCGCACGCAGCTCTGCGTGCGCCCTCCGCACGCAATAATCACTCCTAGGTTATGCTTATTTTCACATAATGGCATAACTGTGTTTAAGTAATAAAATAAACTAAAATAAAGTAAAGTAAAATAAAGGAAAGAAGTTCAATAAGAATTTTGTTAGTAAAAAAATCTTCGTTAAGTGTTGTTTAATAAGAATAATAAAACCATTAATTTAAATTTTAGGAGCAGTTGAGAGGAACAAAAGCAATATATGAGCTTCATTTATGATGTAATAGATGAGGTTAACGAGTTAATAGTATATGGATTAAGAAGAGAAAAATCCAACTAGAAGGCGATTTGAAAAACAATAGATGAAAAGTAGGAGTTCTAGCTTTATCATGCATGCCGCAAGATGTTACCTTGATCAGCATTCAATTTACTGAAAATAAACTCGATCCAATTTTTTTTTTCATAATTTAATGCCCAAAATGTGACGAAAAGTTTCATCATATATGTTTTTTTTTTTTAAGATGATGGTCGAATTGACATTCCCCTCCATGTTCTGATTTACAAATCATTAAACATAGATATAATAAACACAACCCCCAAAATAAAAGCAATTATCAAGATTAATACATCGAAATCATTGGAGAAACATTTTTTTTTCCCATTAATACTTTGCAAGAACACTGTTGGGAATTAACAACATGATTGTTTGTATGTTTCAAGTAAATTATGGGGCATTTACATACACACCACCCAATTCTTATGAATTTACACATTCAACACTTAAAGTTTGCTTTTTTACAGTTATACCAGCCAAATCTTTCATATCACATACTATCATTTCAACTTTTAAAAAGTGAAGTAAAACTTTTCATGCATAAGTGAGGCAGTAAGTTAAATCTGAAGTTTAGGGGTTAGATATGTGAATACATTGAGTGGTATGTGTGCAAATCTTCCCTAAATTAAAAACCGGATGAAAAAGTGCATGGCGCTATAAAAATCTAGGGTAAGGGGTTGCAAATAGGAAGGAGTTATTCCATATAATGATAATCATGAACCGTGAAAATTTATAGCTTTCAGGATGAAAATATTAATACAAAACTGAATAATAATAATAAATATTGAGATGTTGAGGAGTAAGTTGGATGATTATCTTACAGCAGATCAATTCTGAAAATATGGATGTTGCAGCTGGCTTGAAGAGTTCACCCACATTCGCAAAATGCAGCAGCAATGATGCACATGTGCAAACAAAAACTGAACTAGTTAAGTTGATCGCCATAACAACTCTGAGGCTCAAGACTAAGGCAGTGAACAATTTGATTTCAAGCCGAGCTAAGGACGGCTCGAGATTGTCTCGAAGTGTTTGAATACAGCTCAATATCGGCTCGTGTCTCGTTGCATCCAGTTTCGAGCCAATCGGCTCGAAATTAAATCAAACTTGATCCAGCTCAAAATTGAAACGAGTTGGCTCGAATTGAGCTATGTGGATTCAAAAGTTCATGACTTCATGGCATCTACTGAATGCTACTATATTAGCCCAAGTTTTCATCCCTGTAGCACCAAACCACTCAGTTTATGATGAACTTGACTAGCTTCAAAATGGAAACCTCCCTTCCTTAGCTCTGTCAATAATGAATAATACAAGGAATGTCTTCCAACAAGACCGTTCCTTAACATTTTTTCATAAACCTTGTATGCCTCTACAACATTTCCCCTCCTACAATAGTGTTTAATGATTAATTGAAATGGTACATGATCAAGGGAAGAATATAATGTCCTCTCTAACAGGCTAAGGATATCTTCCGCCTTCTTCATTTCGCCTTTTAAACAATGACCTCGAATTAACTCGGTGTAAGTGATTATATCAGGTTTATAGCCTCGGTTTAGCATCTCATGAAGTAAATTATTTGCATGATTCATACAACCGATGTTACATGCAGCACGAATTAACATGTTATATGTGACTACATCAGGAAACTGTCCCATAGATATCATCTCGTCTTTAAGAGATAAAGCTAGTGCTATTTTCCCTCCCTTCAATTCCGCCAGGATCAATGCATTATAAGTGTATGTATTGGAAATCACGCCACATGATTTCATCATATTTCTCCAAAAAATAACATGCCCAGTATCACCATTTCGTGCGTAGCCATTCATGACGAGATTCCAAATAAGAGGTTCCGGAACCATCTCATCATTCAACATATTTAGGATATACCCAAAAACTCTGAATAGCGCACCGTGTAAATAAAGACCTTGAATGAGCAACCTGTATGACATATGATCCGGCACAACACCAAAAAGCCCCATTTTTTCATGAATTTCACATGCTTCCTCAATATCCCCTTCCTTAAAATGGCCACTTATAAGTGTATTGAATGTCACAATATCAGGAAGAAAACCCCTTTTACACATTTCACATATGTATCTATAGGCAAGATGTGTGCTTTGAACCAAAGAAAACCCATTAATGAGCACATTATATGCAATGCGATCAACGCTTAGTCCTTCCTCGAACATATCATTCCAGAGCTCGAGTGCGTGTTTCAAATCTCCTCTCCGACAACTTCCATCGATAAAAATTGTCTTCGTTATTAAATTTGCATCTATATTTTGATCTAATATCTCATCCAAGAGTTTCTTCGCTCTATCAAGAAATCCCTCTTTACACAAGGCATGGACCAGTATATTGCAAGTGACGACACTGGGTTTTACTCCGTTACTGTACATCGATGAGAACAAATGGAGAGCATTTTCTATATTTTCGGAGCGACAATATCCGTAAATAAGAGTGTTATACGTTACATTATTAGGGGAAACTCCGACTTTCGACATCACATTAAGAAGCCAAGCCGCAGTCCACAAGTTGCCAATCTTACAAAGTGCATTCAAAAGGATATTATATGTAGCCAAATCGGGCTTAGCATGACTCTGCAGTAACAAGTTATGTAGGAGTAGAGCATCTTCTGCCTTATTTTTGAAACAGAAATTCCTAATTAGCAGACAATCAGTTTCACAAGCAGGCTTGAAGTTATGATTGAAACTCAGATTAGAAGCCAATTCTCCATATAAATTACATTTGCCAACAAAAGAGATGCTTTCCCTGCAATTTCAAGCAAAAAGCACGAGGTTGCAGGAATCAAACACGCTGCAGATGTTCTATAGAGATTCTAATTATGTAAATTGTAATTATAGGAGAAGTAAGAAGAATTAAGAGATGTTTAGTAAATCAATGAACGGTATGCAAATCTGCTCTAATCTGCTCAAATCTGCTCTAATATTCTGTTAGGAAGATTTTCATACATACCAATCAATTCTTACGTCACATAAATAAAACCAAAATTTCAATTTTTAAATACACGCCACCTTACCAGGAAAGCTGTATTTTCCTTTCTAAAAGTTAAAATTGTGATATTTTTCGTGTTTCTGAAAGATTTCGGTGGTAAAAGCCAAAAAAAGCAAAGTTTTGGTGTTAGATATGTAAATACAAAAGAATTGAATGGTATGCAAGTAGGCTGACATCTTTAAGTGCGACTTCATAGAATGAATTCATGCACTATTTTGCTGGAACTAAGATGCTGAACAAATCTAACTACATCAAGATTTTAGGTTTTCTAATAACTAAAACAAATTACTAAAAAAAAGATCAAGCATATCTTTAATCTTTCCTGATAACACTGAGCAAGACAAAAAGATTTTTATCGAAATAAACATTGGAGAAAAGAACCCCCAATTGATTCATGATAAGCCTGGAAGAAATCTCAAAATGTTCAAGAAAGTCTAACAGATTATGTAAAGAGATAGGTGCAATTCATGCATTACACAGAGCTAGAACCTGACATAAGCCAACACAAGAAAAGCCCAACCTGAGTTTCTTCAGCCGCTCCATGGTCCCAACAATGACCGAATCCAATACATCGAAAACAAAATTTGGATCTCCATCATCTTCATAGTTTTGATGCCTGTTCCGCTTCAAGAACCACTCTTCCGGGCTGGTTACGAAGGGCTCTTCTGCATGAACTGCCACGCTATCAATCTCCGATGTCGGCCGCCGCTCGTTTGTCCTACAAGCTCCCAAATAGCAGAATTCCGTTCGATTGAAACGTTATGAGAAGGCGAAAATTTAGAGCTATACATCACTCCTGCAGATAAAAACTACCTCACGGGGTGAAGGGGGTGGAATTCTTGGCAGAAGAGATCTCCTAATGCCCGAATGAGAGGAAAGTTTCTTAGATCCGTGCAAAATGTCCGAATGATGTGATAGAAATCTTCTCCCACGACGATCGACTAAAACATTTTCGAGTGGGAAGACGATGAAAGAGTTATAAAGGGACCATTTGTACAAGATGATGTAAAAAAACGATAAATATGGTAGAAGCTGACTGATTAACAGGAAGGAGCAGAAACGAACCACCATTTACTAAAAAACGGAGAAGGAAGAAGCGTTGACATGAAACACCCTAAGGATAACGTCGGGACTAGCGAAGGGTGTCGAGCGCCGGCGAGCGGATCAGGGACAGGAACGACCGACTGGCGGCTGGGATTGTTTGGGCCTGGTAAGAAATGAGTTGCAGGCGATTAAAATATCCTGCGCCGTTGGATTAGATGTCCACCATAGCTGTTTTTTTTTTACTTATAAAATTATGAAAAAAATTAATTTTTTTAAGGACATTAAATTATAAATATATATTTTATAAAAAAATCAGAAAATATTTTTCTTTTGGTCATATAACACATTAAAAAGTCAGATTTAAAAATATAATTTCTCATCATATAAAATTTTTAGAAAGTGATAAGAAAATAATTATTTAAACTAAATTATAGTAATGATTTGACACACAAAGTAGGCAGAAAGCTACCTCAAATATTCTGATAAGTCATAACCATTTCCTTAAAAGAGAGGAATAGGCGTTCAGTGCTTTTTTCTTGGAGGCACTTAATTCCAATTTGTTGACACTTATTTATTGAGTTATTTGCCTCTATACTAAGTCATTCTATATATTCACATATCTAATGCCTAAATTCTATATTTTATATTCATCTTATATCAAAAGTTCTATTAATTTAATTTTTAAAAAGTGAAATGCTTGTTTTCATGCATAGATAAGATCAAATATATGTAAAAATTGAATTTTACAACTTAGATATAAAAATATTGGAAGTAGTATGTATGTAAAACTTTTTGTTTAATTTAATTTAAAAAATATTATAACATAATTATCCTATATATAATATTTATGGGGATGGAGAAGGTATATTATTTTAACATTAACCAATTTTTTCGCCCCATGGATAAAAGATAAGTGTAACTCATCCAAAACAGAAGGTTTCATATGTTAAAAATTAATGGAGAAAAAGTACAATTTGGTTTTTCATAAAGTGGAAAATCAATGATGCAATCTAGTGGAAATGAATTGAGAAAAATGCTTTTAGCTTTAAATTGTAAAAGCATTTAACCATCAAAGTTGACATACACTCCAACCATTAAGGCTGCAACAAAAACTAGAAAAATGAAGAGGATTTAAATTCAATAAGACATATTAATTTACCACTAAAATATAAAAATGTGATAGAGCGTAAAACAGGAGAGAGAAGAGAGAGAGAGCAATGATAGAGAGTTAATCTTCGATTAACTAGCTTTTCACTGTAAAAATGACCCCCTTATTTATAGGCAAAGGGGTACGAGTTCTATAATTATTTGATTGCTCCTTGTTTTATTAAGGGCGCTACATGGAAATTTAGTCATAAATAAATAAATAGCAAATAAATAAAAGGTCTTCAGCTCAACTCTGCCTATCGCTCGGGTTGCCCACGGTTGGTAATCCCTAAATCGACGAAGCCCGCTTAGAAGACTACACTAAATTTGGGTTGGTGATTGACAGCTGGTCAGCTCCTTTGGTCTGTCGATCAACTTTTGACTCCTTAGACGATACTCTTACGATCATATTGGGGTTAGGCTATTGAGTAGAGGGGCAATCACCATAATCCAATGGGCAGCCTACCTCTTTTGTAGGAGAAGTTTCAAGGAGCTTTTATAGGTTTCATGATGAACACCTTCACACACTTGATGAGTCAATTAGGGTTCCTCTGAGATGACTCATGATGTTGTTGTGGAATTACGTAGATACTTTTCTCAGTTAGATAGGTTCTAACCCTGAACTTAAGGACGTTTTGTTAGATTGGCTTGGAATACAACTTCAAGGAAATCGTGAGGCAATGGACCTTGTAGGCTCACGTGATGTGTCCTTTGACCCTTAGTGGGCCCTCCTTAACCATGCTTCTTTTGATCTTTTGGATTTCCTTGAGATTTATGACGATGTACTTTTGAATTGCTTATTTAGTTCTCTTATTTTATTACTACTTGACGGTTACGCTGGGATAGGAACAAGAAAATTTAATGCAAAAATGTGAACATTGTGTATGATTACTTAATAATACAATAATTGAGCTCCCCTTGAGGTGTGTGTTTTTGATTCCTATAAATATGGAGTGAGGGACACATTTTTCCAATTATCTTATGATTTCTTTGTCTAGTCTGTCTAAACGTCAGCCATTAGTATGGTTAATGAATAGCTACCCAAGGTTGGCAAATACAACAAAACTTCTTATCAAATGGCTTTCAAATTTCTGATGCAAGAGACTAGCTGCCGACCGGAAGGGGAATGGAAACAAAAAGTGGTGGCGAGGAAACGGTCGAGGCTAGATCCATAGCACCAGGTGGTGTCCTCAAATGTCACTTTGGTCACCCTGGTGAAAAGGTGTAGTTAGAGAAAAATTGCAAGCGTGAGGTTTCCTATGAAGAGGAAAATTGCATAACAAAGATTATTCAAGTGGAAGAGAGTGCTTGTTCTAAGGAACAACAGGTTAGTTTGTTAGCTCTTAGCCAGACTCCATCATTGTGAACGGAGCAAGGAACTATTGGGAATTGTGTGAGAGGTTTTTGATGCCTCAATGCTGCTTAGGGCATAGAGTGTTGCTGGCATTCCTTCGTCAGCCAAAGGACATCTAACTGGTGAGCAAGGGTTCTCTTTCATAGCTTTAAAGTGGAATGAATCTTAGGTATGGAGGATGCTATTTGGATGAATTTTCTTTATTTTCAACCATGAGTTTTATTCTTTTTTTTTATGCAAATGATCTGATCACTAGAGCGGTGATCATCAACGTTCCTTTGGCGGTGGTTGGTATTGATATGGTTTCTAAGACCTTAGTGAACCAAAGATCTGCTAAGGTGCCTTTCATCAAGTTGAGGAAGGGAGCAGTCGCTCAAGTCTTCCAGAGGAGGCAGACGCACAAAATTACAGTGAAGCAAGTAAGTCAATCAAAAAGGTATACATGTCGATCAACTAATATACACAATTCAATTCTACGAGGAAAGTGTAAAAATATTCCTAGAAGGTGAAATTCTATTTACAAAACTATTAAGTCTAGTTTGAAGATCAAATATTAGATATGAAAAGTCAGAACTTATTGTTGAAAGAGAAGGCAAACAAGGGTTTTTTGAAGATTTTCAAATATAAATGGTTCATTCGCATGTGATTTCAGTGAAGTGATTTCTCAGTGTTTTTCCTATGGAACTCACATAATGTTGACAATCAAGGACAAAATTTTTCTCTTTGGAGTATGCTTAGATCATAAGAAAAATTGAAAAACCCTATATAGTTAAGTTTCTTTTAACCATACAACATTTCACAGGATTCTTCAGATCCCCTCTATAGGTTACAAAACTCTAATGATAAAATGCCTATTTCATAAGATTTTTGAGGTTAACTTCTTTGTTGTTTAGGCAACGTTTAGAAGTCATGGATCACAAATGATTTTAATATTCTATCGTGCCTAAAATAAGTAAATTAAGTTCAGAAAGTTCATACATCAGCATATGAAATTCATGTACAGAAAAAACATTAAGGGAAGAAAATCAAGGTAATAAACAACAAGAAAATCACATGCTTACTTAAGCATGAAATGAAGTCAATCACAATGCATGCAAACAGAAAAGGCAAAATCTTTCATTATGGAAAAAATATTAAAGATTGCAGTGCAAGAGGTCTAGAACACTTACCCAGAGCCAATCATTCCTTTGCATTATACCACACTCCTCTTTATTCAATGCAAGCTCTCACAACTCTTCCCTCATTCACATCATCTCTCAAAATCTCAATAACTCGAAAAAAAAAATCTCAACAAACAAGCATAAAAAGAGAAAGGAATTACTACCATAAAAGTTCTCGCTTTGAAGGAAGAATAAAAGACCTCTATGGTTCACATTCAAACCCTCAAATATGGTAAGAAGCCTCCAAGGTCTGCCTCCAGATGTCTCAGAATGTGCCCTAATATCTATTATATAGATGAGGTCTTAAAAAGACTTGAAATTTATTTCAAAATAAATTCTAATTAGTCAAACTACAAAGTCTGAAACTGGCATGGTTACAATGATGTGTTGAAAAGAATGCATAAAGTCCTTTATGTTTTACACATTTTTATGGATGAAATTAAACTTTAACGAAAGGTATTTTCATGTTTTTTTAGGTGCAATAGGTGTTGGATATGGGGCAAAGAATTTTACAGAAGATTAGCGCCTAGGCGCCAGACCCCTTGGTCTCCAGTCTCATCCTGGAAACCTAATAGGTTAGCGCCTAGGCATCGCGATACTGGTACCTACTTGCTAGACCCATGGGTGCCTAGGTGCCCAAGCCTTATTCTACAAACAGAGAGACTGGTGCCTAGGTGCTAGCAACTGCCTGAGGTTTTTACACGCTATTTATGTGTTTATGTAATGGAGATGAAGAGCTTGTTGAAGGATTAAGGGAGATAGAGTTTATGTTAGGGATTTGGAGAGGACTTGAGTTGTAAAGTGAGGAGAGTCTTCAAGACAGCAACAAGGAGTAAATAAATCTTTGGTGGAGCATTTTTCAGAGCTTTTTAAAGGAGAGAAAGATAAGTTTTGTGTGTTTAATTTATTGTATTTCCTTGTACATAATCATTTAGTGGAATTCTATTATTTCCATTGAAGCTCTGTGGAAGTTCTTCATGCTTCATGAGTCATGCTCTTGACTTTACCTTGTGATGTTTGAGTAGGATGTATAGGAGTACAAAATATTTTCAAAATTATTTTTATGTATTCAATGTGATGATTAACCTTCAGAACTTAATTTACTTTTCCTTCTGGTCAAGTGAACCATTAAAATGCAATGTTATCCATAATGACTCAGAAGAGCTATGGTAGAATCAACTAGGTTGGTGGTCACATTAAACTATAGGGTATGACGCAAGTACTTTGTAAGGAGAAGCAAAAGTTAGGGGAAGAGACTTTGACAAGTTCAAAATGATATTTTAATGAATTAAATAAGTTTTAACCAATCTTATTTTTCCAATTGGGATAGGTTAAAGAAAAGAGTTGCTTATGTTTGTCACTAACCACATTTACATATAACACTCCACATTTCCTATGCTCCACACAAATCTTTACAAGGGAAGATAACATTATAGC